AGATTTTTGAATGCTGAAACAATGTTACAAGTCAAATTTCACCAGCACGTTAGATTTCAGAGATAATTGAGATTTAGGAGAAACTGAGACGAATCGGATCAATTATTATTCATGGTAAAAAAGTAATAAAAAACGAATTAGAATATTAAGTTTTAATATAAATTCTTAATTTTTACAACTTTGGCTTGAGTTTTATGCATAAAATAATAACATAAATATTTCTTATTGCACAACGAAAAAATAAAAAGAGGGAATTATCCAATTCACTTAAAAATTGAGACTAAACGAATCACCAGTTTGCTAGATTGATTTAGCAAACTCTATACACTATATAAATTATTATAATTTATATAAGTTTCAACATTAAAAAGTTACAGAATTTATAATTCTTTTAAATCGTGATTTTATGCGAGAGAAATAATTTTTTATGCACTCACAATTTCTGCGTTCTGTCCCAAAATTTATATTGATTCGATTCGTCTATGATTTGATTTTCTTTGATTCTAATAGGTTAAAAATAGCTTTTTCATGATTTTTAATTATTTTTTTAAAAAAGTTCAAAAATCAAAAACATTAATAACATTCTTAAAATTCTAATCAGAAGTTATAAATGTATTGTATTATTCATCCTCTCAAAAATGCACTTTTTTAAATTTCAAATACTTTTTATATTTAAAATTTTTATGTATAAAACATTTAAACGCAGAAATTTGATGAGCTCAAATTTCTGCTTATTTTAATGCATACACATTATCAATATTATTCAATTGATTTAAAATCAAAGCTGGAAAAAGTGGTCAAAACTCTTCACCGTCCATGTAAACGGAATTTTAGTAATTTTTAGATTTCTAACGTTATAGCAAAAGTTTTTATGGACACAATACTTGTTCAATAAAATACGTAATGTCGAAATTTGAATAATTAGATAAATGAACATAATTCTTTGTGACAAATTCAATTCCAAATAGGTCAAAAGATTTTTGATTCGTAAGAAGCATGATGGTTTTATGATCATTTTGCTTGATGCAATTAAGTTCTCACATTTTCATATCATAATTGCAGATGGATTTTCCGACGATCAAAGGGTTAATCGCCAATACTTCTCATGCACGAATGGTGGCTCAGCCGGCGCGGAAATGGCCGATAAGATTAGAGACACCAATCTATTAATCTGTCGTGATCCAACGTCGCCGGATTCGACATCGTAAATCTGCGCGGCGTAGCGAAATCTCAGGTTTCCGTAAAAGTATTTCTTACCCCCCAACTTCTTCGCGTGGATCAATCGACTTGCCATTTCCGGAACGATCTCTTCGACGTCACATTCGCACATTATCCTCTTTCTCTCTTTCTCTTTCTCTCTCTCTATCTCTCTTTTCTCTTTCTTTTTCTCTTTCTCTGTTATTTTCCCTTCAACTCCATCGTCTCCGAGCGTCTCCGAGTATTCTCCTCAACGTCGTTTCATCCCCCGAACCAAGCAAATAACCGAATCTTTAGTCTAGCCCAGTCTTTAGTCTAGCAACCCCTTAGACCGGTTTACACGAAGTCAGCGGAGAGGCAAATCCGATGTAAAGATCACTCGTTCGCTCCTCGAAACGAGCAGCTGGTTAGGATTGGCGTGTACTTGAAAGTGTTAGTATCCGAGAAACACAAGCAACGCGAAACAATCCTTCAAGTTTGACAGAGATTAAGAGCGATGATAAGATTCTCGAGGTTAGCCAGAGTCGAACAAATATTGATGGGACGAATTTCTCAGTTAAATTGAAACTTTTCAACCTGTTCACGATCTCGCGAATATTTTTTCGGACGAGTCAAGTGAGATGGAGTAAGGAGACTCCTCACTCTTGAGATATCGGCGTAACGAGGGAAAGTCGAGCACACATCTCTTTGCTATTACAAGAACTTTCTATTCGTTTGCTTACCCGGCAACTTGCTTACCCCTACTTGTCTGGCTCGTTGACTACGAATGTATGGTAACTAGGCGTGTGTATATCTCGTGGCTGGCTGGGATATACTCAGGAAGACAACAACGAGCCCATCCGCAAACAAACCGTATGTAGACCAATATCCTTCCAGGATATTCTCGCTATACATACCGGCCATGTCGCTGCATTGAAACGGATGACTTCCTGTCGCGCGGTAAATCATAATAAGTGCACGCGTAGCGAACAATCGATCGGAAATTGGAATCATATGCGAAATATCTATATCTACGCTCAGAGAAAAAATAGTATAGGTTTAGCGACTGTAATGCGACAATTTTGAAATATAATTATGTGCGATTAATTTTATAAAATCATCAAAATGAAAATAATGCTTAGAACTATTTAAAGAGTGATAACGACAAATATGAAGTAATTTAATATTTGTGACTACGATATTTGTATAGAAATTGTTATGACTTATGTTAATGGATGTTAACATTCTTTTATTAATTATGTAAATAGTTAAATTATTTATATATACACACACACATACATACACACACACACTCACACACACAAATATTAAAGTTTTATATATATAAATACAAAATAATACTATAATACATAATTATGTAGATTTCTATCTCTCTCTCTCTCTCGCTCGCTCTCTTTCTGTTTCATAAAAATGTAATAATGTTATTTTATTTTACACGATTTATATATTTTTTTTAAATGAATTATTAAGCTAAATTAATATATAATATACTTTTATATTTTAATATATTTTTCATTAATGTTGCTATTTACATTGCTATTTAGTAACATTATTATTATGTATTATCTTTAATTTATTTCTTTAGTTTAATTTAATTTTTACAATTTATTTATTTTTCTTATCGCAAGTTTGCAATATTGTAATATATAGTTGAAATAATATTTCTCTTCTTTATTTCTCTTCACTTTCTCTAATTGCTAGTACTATTTTTTTCTCTGAGTGCGATAGTTTATCGTATTTTTAATATTTTTAATTTATTGACGTTTAGTGACAAAAGAAAATTTCACAAAAGAAAATAATTAATTGCAAATAATCTTGTTTATTTAATGACATATTTAACGAAGATAAATCGTCCATTCACAAAGGATTAATATTAAATCATTTTTTTATATATGTATATATGTATATATGTATATTTTGATGAAGCGTGTTAAACGCGTTCAGAATTCTGTCACAAGAGCTACAAACGGAGATTCTCTCGAAGATTCTCTCGAAACCATCGATTTCACTTATCGACGATGTACTGTGTAGAAATTCAAAGTTTGGAAAATCTTGCGAAACAAGATGTCATCAGGCAGTTTCGTCAACGAGGAAGCGACAATTGCTACATTTTCGTCGTGTTATGTGCTTGTTAGCGTCTGTCACTTCGTAGGTCGACTCAAATTAGTTTAGCAGTAGCGCCGAGCTAGCAGTCGGCGTAGATGATGAGCGCTTGTTTAGGAGCGACGGAGGTAGAAAGCGGCGTTAGGACGAGCTGAGATACGGAGGGAGATAAGAAGAGATATCTCGGTAACGTGGGAGAGGAATCGTCACCTGTCTGTTATTTCTCTGGGTTCTCTCTGGTTGCACCAAGGTTAGTTACCGCTAACTGCGGTTGGCTAAATCTCGTTTCTATTTATTTACGTTATAGCGAGAATAATCCAGGAAGCAGAGAGTGGATGATAAGAATTAATTAATAATTACAGTTCATCTCCAAAGTCTGTTCCATTATAATCTGTTTATACGAATAATTATTACATCAACTTTTTTTTATTGAAGATAGTTGGAATTATTTAGACAGAATTTTCTTCCATATTTTTTTTAACATTGCTTAAGCAAAAAAAAAACTGTAACTAACAATAAATTAATTTCTGTATATTATGATAACGCGATTTGATTAAATATTTCTTTTTGATAATATTTCTTCTTGGTAATATTTCTTCTCCCAATCGTTATTATAATCTAATAAAAAATTTACTAAACGGTTAACCAAGTTTAAGTGTATCTGGCCTTTACGCCAGGGTTAGAAAGTAACTCGTTGCTTCACTGTAACGAAGTTACAGTGAAGATTACTTTTTTTATAGTATAACTTAACTTCGTTCTTTTCTTTCCATCTATGACTTAACTTCACTTAGTTACATTTCTTTACAACTAGGAACTAATTTAATAGTTGTTTATGTATTTCAAACTTATCAACATATGAACTGACAAAAATGAAGTGCTAAATGTGAACAATTAGTGATTATTTTTTGTTATTGGAATTTATCTTTATCCTTATAATTATTATCATATTCTGCAGATATATCTGTACTAAGAATCAAGCTAGAAGCCTTTTATATGACCACTTTTTTTTATTATAATTGAATATTGATCTTATAATTTTGAAATTTCAAGTATTATTTTATCATAAATATCGATATCATATTATATGTATAACTTTGAATGTGTTATTAATACAGCATATAACCGAATAATTTGTATAAATAGAATAATTTAATGATAAAAATACATAAGATTCTTATATATTTAAAATAGCAATGCAAAAAATTACAAAAAAATAACAAAAAGTAACTGAAAAGTAGCGATTACTTTTACAAAGTAGTTCTATCAATCCTACCTTAAGCTTAATTGCAACGCTAGACTTCAAGTCAAATTTTCTTTGTCTTCGTCGTAGTTAGAGTGAAAAATGTGTAATGTAAAAAGGGATCAGAGAAATCTAGAAGGAGAATCAGAATTAATCATCAAGGCCGTTCTTGTTAGGTCTAACGACATTATCCTGATCAAGTTTACCGTAATTGATATGTAGGACATAGTAGATCTCTTTAGTTATCGTAGTTAGGCCTGACACCAGAGAGCCGACCGAAGTTAGTTTCTGCGATAACCGTTGGTGCAACCGATCCCGTGTCCGTCCACGACCACGTGTCTGTCTAATGCTATCTTGCACTTGTGCTGTCTGTCACGTCGTCCACGTGCACCGCGAAACGCTCGCGAGCAGGAAGTGGGTGTATTAATTAACCACGTTGTTATATCGGCATAACGCCCACTCAGTTCCCGTGGTGGTGCAAGTCGTCCTCGTCGACGATGGCGGCGGCGACGACGCCCTCCTCCATGGCCGCGGCAGCCGGCCCAGCATCCGCCGGCGCCGCTTCCGGTACCCAGGGCGGCCAGGGAGTCGTACTATGTCCACGTACGCTGTCGCAGGTGCGACGGACACGACTACGCCGGGCCCTCACCGAAGCGACCGCCGAGACCGTCAACTACGTCAAGACGGTGGGAGATGACGATTTTTCGCTATCAAGCCCTATTATGCGCGTATACCGGGTGTTCCAGATCTTAACGCCCCCTCGCCACTACTTCTCGGTCCTCGCGACCTTGAATTTTAACGTCTCGGATAAAGAGACCCTGTTATTCCAAATTTGCGCATTAATTAATAAAAGTTTCCTCATGTTTATAAACGCTCGTGAATCAAACTTGTCTTCATCATCGTTCCGTTTAACTGCCCCTTCAATCGTATTAATTTAAATATACATATATAATGATCCGCGCGATTGTGAGGGAAACACGCGATTTCTGGGATACCCTGTATGCGAATTTGCCTTGCATAACGTATGCACATGCACGCACAACGTGACTGTACTTGGCGATGATATTAGCGGAAACATTCGACAAGAATGTTTGACACACCCCGTGTAGATTAAATAACGACATCTAGTAGAAATGGTCAATGCTATGCTTTTACGCGAGCTTCCCTTTTATAATCTTTCACGCCGGACGCCATAATTTCATTTACGTGCACGTAAAATGTGGCGAGAACTGTCACAGACAATTCGTATGAAAGGATAAAAATGTATGAATGCCGTAAACAAAATTTTTGAAAGACAATTGTCCTTCAATCCATGCAGTATATTGTTAGTGATCGAGCATGTGTTAATTCGTTAAATTAATATTTTTCTTTTTTTTAACATTTCCGCATTTGAGTTATTTTCGCACTGGAGGAACTTTTCACAAATATCTGGAACCAATTTCATTCTTCTTGAAATATATTAAAAATTTTTTAAATTTAAGAGATAGTATTTTTTATATCGGATCTTAAATCTAAAATTTATAATTTTAGATTTAAAGGATAGAACAGCATCACAAAATTTAATAGGGAAACATTTTTGATATATTACATTTTTGAAAAATCTAAATACAGTTATCAAGTATATAAAAATCATAAAAGTTTTGTTTAAAACATTTTTTACATATTTCACCGTTTTATTAATAATCAATTTGAACCAATTATAAGCATTAGCTTTGAAGGATTATTTCACTCTTTAAGTCTTAAATTGGGCTAATATTAAAAAAATCTCTTAAATTTTTTTAACAACATACATCAAAAAGAATCGAATCTGTTCCAGACAGTTGTAACAGGTTCCTCGTGAGAGAAAAATGATATTTATGACTATAATTACTTGGTAAAATAATAATGATTAGAAACTCCATTTTTATAGACATTACTATAATGTTCTATGCTAAAAATATATAGTAGATCCGATTGTAATTTATAGTTAAAATTTATGGTTAAAAACTTCATTTTTATAATTATAACGTTTTATAGATGTATAATAAAATTTGCACCAACTCGTTTTTACGCAAGTTATACTTGTTTAGTATATAAAATATTATAGCAATAATATAATTATAAAGCTCTTCTAACTGTAATTACTTTATCATAATTATAGTCATAAATATGCTTTTCTCTCAGTGCTATATTCGAGAAATTTTAATACGACCGTTTAAACGATAAAATAATCCTGCCATAAAAAGCACTTTGTGTATATAATCCGTTCGATATTAAATTTATTTACAAGTTACTAATAAATTTATTTGAAAACATCTGTTTTTAAAACTAATCTCCCTCTGAAAGTACATAATATGCAGTAAATACTAAAAGTAAAAATATTGTATTATTATACTTAAACAGCAGAAATGTATCTTTAAATATTCCAACATGCGAAAGCATTACAGAGACGCATAAAAATGCAAAGGCCGTGTAAAAATGAAGATGCGCGCCTGCAATAAAATCTCGAGAGTTCTCACAAGCTCGGTTCGCGTTAAGGAAAGTACATCTGGCAAATATTGATCGTAACAATCTGCGCTTTATGTCGCTGCACTTCTCGCGTACGGGACGCATTCTCGTAGTAAACGGCGAAACGGACGCAAGAGACGGAAAATAAAATAAAATCTCCTCCCTTGAGCGTATATACGAGCGAACGCCCCCGTATGTATGCGGTCGGTCGCGGAAATCTCGTCTCTTCGCGCGAGAGACTTTTGGTAACACGGTTTTGGTAGCCAAGAACGCGAGTTGTCGGAAAAGATTGCTCGACCGAGCGTCACGCAAAAACTTTCACGAGTTCCATTTCGCGAGACGCATACAAAATCCCCTCCATCTCTTTTCTTTCACAGACGCCGACAGACTTTCCCTAATATTGCGAGAATTTTAAAGTTAGCGGATGCAGCGAACTCGACGCATATATTTCTAAATATCTCAGAAGACGCACAAAGTAATACGGCATGTAATTTGTATTATAAAAAATTGCTTTCAACGGAAAACTTTGTACAAAAATGCAGCAAAAATTTTTTAATTGGTGTTTTCTTCTCAATTTATTTTTGCTCAAATTTTATTCATAATATTATTGCGTTACTTGTTGCATGAAATTATTTAAATAATAACGATAGTTTTTCGTTATTGCGCGCGTTTTTGTATTTAGATAAAGTTAAACGATGCTGCTCTTCACGCGCAGTGAAACGTAAAAAAAATGGCGCCAACGCTGAATTTGGAATCGATCCAACAATCCAACAATGTTAAATTCCCGAACACCGCGCTCGTCGATTGTTATGTCTAATTCCGAATGTACGTAGCTTTTTGATTTTTATCTGCGGATTATATAAAAACGCTTTTCAATATCTGACCTAGCGTAGTCACCGTAAATATTTCAACGCCAACTTTCCGCGCGCGTGAGTAACATTTCACGAAATCGTTTCTCGGTCAAAAATATATAAAGAAAATCGGGAGATTTATTAGGCTATATTTTTAAATTCCACGCACGTTGATTTTCTAATGGAATTCCCTAGTATAATCCGTTTCAACTTTCTTTTTCAATTAGGTCGATAACATTTGATTCAATTTACATATTTGCTCTTTCACTGTGTTCTCTCGAATTTTAACATTCTCGATCACTAACTTTGGCATAAGGATGGAATACAAATTATAGATAAAAAATTATGTTTATTTAAATTATTAATAAAAATTATAATCTTACAGATTCTCACGTTACAATGTACTTTACTTTTTAATTAATAAATCAGAAAATTCTAAAGATTGCAAGAGTATAACACACATTCTACAATAAGTCATTAGTAATAAATCAGAAATCAGGAGCTAGAAATTGATCAATCATACTCAATTATTCTTCTTACATTTGACTGTGAGTAGTCAATTTTTAGCTTCTGACTTCCGATTTATTACTAATGGTTTACTGCAAAATGGCCATTATATTTTCAATATTGTATATTTATACTTAAATTTTAATATGTTAACAATGTATATATGTTGTCAAATTATAGCTACATCGCACAAAGGTAATGTTCAGTATGTTATCCAACAACAGTATGTTGTCCACGACGTATGCGAGTGCCTTGTACCGGAAACAGAGTCAGCAAGCATGAGCAGACTCACAGAGTTTCGTGTTTCGGCGAACTTTCGAGGGAATGCTTGCCGAATGAAAATGGCGTGTGCTTCCGTTCTGGACGTGGAACGCACGATTTCCGCCGGATGTTCCGCAGACATCTGCGACCCCTATGATTTACCCCGAATCATCATTCAAATGCCGCTCAATAACGCCGTTCCACTCTGTATACATGCAAGATGTGTTTCTCACCCAAATAGTTAATGTCAGCAACTTGTACAGGACGATCCAAAAGTACTGCGAAAACTTCCAGTGTATATCAAGGCCGAAAAATAAAGATAAAAGTATCTATGCACTGAAAGAAAAGTTCTTCATATTTGTGACTAAGTACATGTTATCATAATTATTACTGCTGTAATATTAGTAATAATAACTGTGTATATAGTTCTATCGACAAATGTATACAGTTGGCAGTCCGAAAATGTTTATATCTACAATTATTATAACCATAAAAGTGGTTTCAATCATTATAATTTAATTATAATTATAGTCATTTTTTATTGTCAACTGTATGTGTCATTACTGAAATTATAACAATAATAATCGCAATTATGATAATCTGTAATTACCATCACAAATACCAAAAATTTTTCTCTCAATGCATTTAGCAATTTATTATTTAAGGATCTCAAAATTTCCAGATCTGAAAATCGCAGATCACATAAAACGATTTGGCTAATCTCAAAAGTCTCATATTCTTGCATTTGTAAAAGAACCTGCATTTCTACATTTTCAATATTTTTAACGTTGAGACGCATCATATTAAAATTTGAAATTCTTGGATTACAAAAATCTAAACGTCTGGAAGAATTTCTACGGTTCCACGGTTTCCAAGTCCTTTGGATTCTGCGTCTTTAGTGCCGCGTCGAGACGGCGAACGTATTTGCATTTTTGGACGGTCAGATCTCAAAGAGTCGGCAATTCTTTTCTGTTGGACTCCTGAGTTCTGATATCCGGAGATTTCAGGATTTTCAAGATCCTCGTGCGAGCGTCTGGCATCTCGGCCACTTGCCAGACGGCCGAACGCTCCCAATGAGAGATGGTACTTCCGGATCGTCCGGTACAGCATGTTTTCGCACGCCTCATCGCCCAGTACTACCAGCAGAAGTTAGTTCTGTTTCCGTTCCGCCAACCCTGACCTGCATTCTCAAACGGCCACGTACGTAACGTATATCAAAAAAGCAGAACGCTGACCGGTGGAATACCATCACAACCGCTTGGTATGTTCTTTATTTCGCTCTTTTATACACTCACACAACCGCGATCAGTCGATATAAAGCGCACGTGTCAGCAAATTGACGAACAAGGAGCACGATTTCATCCCAACTCGATTACGCAAACGAGATCGAAAGCGCGTTAAAATTATCATTCGTTGTTGACAGCCGTTTTTCTTTTTTTTTTTTTAGATCTTTAATCGTAAACTACATTCTCTGATTAATTGATAATGTTGAACTTCTATAGTTTGAGATCTCTTCTCGAATTCTTCAATTTTTCTGATTCATAATTTTTTTCAATTCATTTAACGAAGAACGTTCTTTTAGATTTATTTCTTTTCGAGATATTGGCTGTAGATAGATTATTGAAAAAGAAAGTAAATCTAGATTTAAACTTGAAGCGTTTCCGCTTAATTAGATCAATTTTTATTTTATAAAAGTACACTGAGGAAAAATATTTGCTATTTGTGACTATAATTACTAAATAATTGTGATTGGGATATCCATTTTTATCATTATTATTAGTAATAGTAATAATGTTATCTTTAGTTTCAATTCTATGAAAAAAATATATATAAATCATAATAATTTCAGATATTAATACAACAGAATATCAAGAAATGATAAAGTAAATAGTTTAATTAATGTTATATTTTTATTAACATTTTCGGTAAATGTAATTGTAGTTATAATAAATATTATTATTTCTAAAATAAAGGAACAATCACTTTTACGTTATAATTGCATGAATTTATATAATTGTGATTATAGTAATGCAATTAAAGCAGATATGATTTGCATGGTTAAAACAATTATAAATGATATCAATATATATATGTATATGCCCCGAAAATGACTATAAATTATATTTTTAAAATGACTATAGTTTAATTAAAACAATTATAATCATTTTTTTCTCTCAGTGTATAATTTTATTGTTCATTTATTAAAATTTATATAGTTGTAGAGTTTCTAAATCAATTTCTTATTAATTAAATACTTTTAAATCATTGAAACTGTATTCACAGTTCTTCAATTCTTTAAGTGGAGGAATCTTAAAGTATCACAATCCATCAAAAGCGGAAAAACAACGTGAAACAGCAGATAAACGATTGTTCTTGAAAAGCCTTAAGAAAATAGAAATCCGGGTCGTCGTTTAATGGCCGCGCCGAGATTGCGAAAAAAAGAACCGACAGATCAAAAAAAAAAGCTGATCGATCTTCCGATGATCGATGACTACGTACAAATATAGAACATATCTAAAAAACGTTGACATCCCACGTTTCAGAGTGCAGGTGAGCGTTGATATGGATCCAACTTTGACTTAAGTACAGAGTATAATGTTAGTATAGTTTCTTACACGACTGTTGAATTACGTATTCTTGTTAGATTTTTCCATTTCCGCTTCTCAGTCTGAAAAAAAAGCATCTGTAGTCGCACCGAGTGCACAAGTTTGGTATGAAATTTTACAACGACTTTCCTGTATTACATGTATAAACATCAAGAGAAGAATTACTAATGTGTAAGCAATGTATTACACGTTACAGCGAGAAGAGGATTATAAAATAACGTCGATAAGTTGTTGACATTTATATAACCTTTAAATGTTAGGGTGGGCAGAAAAAAGTGTTAAAGTGAAAAATTTGTAATGAGGAAGACCCTTTTATTTATCCGTTTTATTTATCATTTCAATCTCAATAAAAGTCAAATAGATATATTCCTCTTCGAAAGAGACGACTAGCGAGATAGATTAAACGCGGATAAAATACATGTAACGAATATTTCAAGCTTTAATTTAATAATTCATGCTTTTTCCGCTAGATTTTTACACCCACTCTAGAATTATAAACAGTTTAATAAATCAGTTTATTATAACATTAACCTTTAATTAAACATTTAATACGAAATGTTATTCTACATTTTATTACAACAAGAGATACTTCTGTATGTATATTAAATATCGGATACAAAAGACTTTTAATATAAAGCCTCTTTAATTAATATTATGTAATTATGATCCACCAATTTCTAACTAAATCGTGATGTATGCGCTTCTCAGACTATTATTATATTCGTATTTATCAGATTTTAATTAAAACCGTTCGTACTCTAAAATCACAGCACGGTATAATGCGATTCCAAATCTGTCTCGCAATTTTTCTCTCTCGAATAACGTGAAAGTCTACAGTATGTTTCGCGCTTCCTCTATTAAACTCACTCGTCGAACATCGCGTAAAGTATTGCATGAGTGAGCGCGGAAAAGCATAAATTAACCGACCATGAAAAAGCTGAATAGGATTCGAAAATGTAATATTTAATCAGTTCTTGCCGCTCTTCTTGCGTTTCTACGTTTCCCAACATTTCCGTGGAGACTCCCAACACTTCCGTGGCGAGCTGCGAGAATTTCTCTTTCATGAGTCCGGCAAAAAATGTTGGATTACTGTCGCACAACCGATTCGCTGCGGGCTCCACGCGCGCGTAAATTCATATATTTCCGTGGAAAAACGATAGGCGATTTCGCAAACAATAACGCCTCGGGATTTCACGTCTGATGCGAGTACCGCGCGCCGATTATTTCGAACGACGGGCGATCGCCGCGAACGACGGCAGCGATGTCGCTCGAGCGACATTGTGATTTCAAACGGGACTGTTCGATTGACATTTTATTAAAATGTCGAAATTTCGATTTTAATGCGGAGAAAAGCGGACAGAAGCGGGATGCGAGCGGATATTGGTTTCGAGAAGTATGTGACTATGCCTTTTGTTTCTCGTTCCTGTGATTTTTCATCCGTTACATTGAGGAACAAATGTTTGGTATTTATAATTATAATTGCATGGTAAAACATTTGATATTTATAATTATAATTGGTAAAACAATTACGATTAAGAATTCCATTTTTATAGTTATTAATGCTATAATAGAAATATCATAATTATATTTACAGCCTGGGAAAGTTACTTTGTAAAAGTAATTAGTTACCATTAAAACCGATCTAAATGTAATCTTGTTACGGACTTTAAAAAATTGAAACCATAGTAAAAAACACCAAAGCGAATGAGAGTAGGGCGTGATAATCAGTACGCAAGATAATAAAGTACTCGTAACAAATCTTATTACTCCTTTATTACATAGTTAGTGATAATTCAGAAATTGTACGTTTCGGAATAAAAGGAGTAATAAGATTTCTTACTTTGCATAGTTACCGGTAGTTAGAAGTTAGCAACTTTAAAAAGTAACGAATTACAATTACAGTTACTCAAAAAGTAACTTTTCAATTACTTTCCTGTTAGCATTGCAAAACGACATAGATAATATTTTGAAAAACAAAATTAAAGTAAGTTAAGGTATAACTACAGTTGAAAAAAGGAATAAAGTTAAGTTAAAATTACTGAAAAAAAATAACTCTAACTATAATTTAGTTCCATGTAAGTAGTTATTTCCCAAACTCTGCAATTCTTCTACATATACAAAAAATACCTATGTATAAGTTGGTACCGAAAACGATTATAAAATATAGCGATTTTCGGTGCCAATTAAATATTTCTTTTATATAAAACTATAAATGTAATTATTATTAGTAACATTACAGTAGTAATAACCACAAATTGGAGTTCTTAACTGGCTTATTATGCAATTATGGTCATACGTATCAAATATTTTTCGGTGCTTCTAAAAATGCTTAAGTGAGAGAACGAAATAGAAAAAGAGAAAAAACAGAGAAAAAGAGAGAGAGAGAGAGAGAGAGAGAGAGAGAAATGGAAAGAAAAGAATATGAAGAAACATTCTTCTCTTTCCATTTCTCTCCCTCTCTCCCTCCCTCTCTCTCTCTCTCTCTCTCTCTCTCTCTCTTTGTTTTTTCTCTTTTTCTATTTCGTTCTTTCGCTTAGGCATTTTTTCTTCCGCATAAATGGCAAGCCATATATTTATAAAGCAATGCATTATATCGCGTCGCGTGGAACGGACTGGCCGCTTC